CCACGTGGGCAACTGTGTTCACTGCGAGAAAAGGTGAGTCACAAATCGCGTCACTGGAGAGATCATCATCTCACTGTGCTCTCAATAGGATCGGCTTTGGAACGGCTTGCCTGCGTTGTCGGGCCTGTCCGCTGCGCTGCCACATCGGCTGCTCTCGCCAGCTGACAGTCAACTGCATCCCACAGCCGCAGATGAGCAATAAGCGTGGGAGCCTCAGTGATTATGCACCCACGGTGGCGCCCATGGTGCCGGCTTTGATAGTCCATTGTGTGACGGAGATCGAGGAGCGTGGGCTGCAGCAAGAGGGGCTCTATCGACTGTCCTCGACGCGGGAGAAGTGCAAGCAGTTGCGGCAGAAGCTGCTGCGTGGCAAGTGGACACCGCATCTGGGTAGCAAGGACACAAACACCCTGTGCTGCTGCATCAAGGAGTTCCTTCGCCGTCTGGTGCATCCCTTGATACCCATCTACCACAGACGCGACTTTGAGAGGGCCACGAGCCACAGTAATCCCGAGGAAGTGGAGGAGCAGGTCTATCACGTAATGCATATGCTGCAGCAGGCCCATCGCGACACTCTCGCCTACCTCATGCTGCACTGGAAGCGTGTGGCTGACAGTCCGAATGTAAGGATGTCTATCAACAATCTGGCCCTTATATTGGCCCCAACCCTGTTCGGTGATCTCGACCTGACGGTCGAGAATGTGACCACCTGGACCAAGGTGCTGAAGGAGCTGCTCCTGCTGCCACATGTCTTTTGGGTTCAGTTTCTGGAGGTGCAGCCTGCGCCTCAGTCCAGCGATTACACGGACGATGACCGGTATACACATAGACAATGGGATCACCATCACAACAGGCGTTGGAGCAATGTTAAAACCTATTTTAGATCTATGGTAAGTAGATATAGTCTGCACCTTGAAGCATTTATTAATGTTCTTCTGTATTGCAGGTGAATCTCTCCACAATCAGATGAATGATTGAATTTAAGCTCGAAAAAATTACACGTGAAAACATCTGCTCAAAATCATTTTAAATTACGTTAAAACTATAAATTTGAAATTAAATTAAATTTTTTTTTTTATGATTTCGTTATGAAGTTTTCCAAATAAAATAAGAACGCAGTTGGAAATCATTTTCGCCAGATATAAATAATATAGCATGGCCCAAAGCTTGGTAAGCTATCGACAATATATTTGGAATATTGAAACATTTATTAAAATTTTAAATTGAATTTCCACTTTTTTAGCTGAATGTTGATTAATTCCCCAACCTAAAGCGAGGGCAAAAAGCGATGTAAAAAATTAATAATTTCCATTTGGCCATACGAGTATTTATGTTTATGTGAAGCGTAAACCAAAACACAAAGTAAAATATTATGCCACCGATGGGTGTATGGAACGAAGCTATATAGAAAGAAGTGAAGGCGCTAAGAAAAAAGTTAGTTTGGCGTTTTAAAAACAATTTGCTGAGTGCTGGCAAAAAATGCGGTATGTTTGTATGTGTGTGTGGCCATTAAATGCAAAAAACAAGCAAAGCAAAACAAAGCACTCGAATGCGTTGGACGAGTGCATAAATAGACCCATACGCACACTCATACACACCACCACAACCATTGAGGGGTATAAAATAATGTATAATAAAATCAAAAATAAACCTAAAGCGAGACGGCGACAGAGTGCAATGCGATTCTGTTGCTAACCGCTAAAAATGGGCTGCAGTTGCAGTTGCTCCATCTGCCACGTTAACGTTAACCAAATGCTAATGCCACACACACGCACACACACTGATGATACCCAGTCAGGGGCAACTGCAACTGCAACGTGCACCAATACCGTGGCAGAAAAGTGCAGCGCACAAAAATAACAAAACAAAAAAAAGAGAAAAACAGAAAAATAAATAAGCAAAACAAAAATAAAAATAGTTTACATAATTCATGTATTATATCGGATCAAATTTTAATGCCTGCCGTAGTCCGGCCCCATGTGTGAGCTGCTGCTGCTGCAGCGGCAACAGAAGCGTTGCCTACTTGGGGGCGCGTGTGGGAAATTGTTTAACAAATGGCATGATTGCAATATATGCAAGTGTGTGCGTGTGCGTGTGCATGCATAATTCGCAGGCAGTTTTTACTTTATTTTTTAGACTTTTTTAGCCTATTTTTATTGTTAATTAAATGAGGGGAATAACAGACACAAGCCGCCGCAATTGTACCAGTACATATGTACAGGCATAACATGAGAGAGCGTGAGTGTGTGTATGTGTGTGCTGCTCTGACTATGCATTTGTATGGGTGGTTGTGCTTTGGTATGCGCAACAAATTTTTCACAATTTTTCTATTTTCTCAGCAGTTTTCCGCGTTGTGTATGTTGGGTCGAGAGCATTTTACGCTCGTTGTTTCGCATGTAATTCACTAATTGATAGTGTGAGCCCTTGCCCCCCCCCCACCCCATGGTCTCACCAACCTACACACCAGGCACCCACACCCCCTTATCCCCTTTAGCTGGCCACTCGTGTAATCGTGTTAGTGACTGGACACACACACACACAAACAGGAAATGTTGAAAGTGCAGCAAAGAAGAATGGTGGAAAAAAAGTAAATGCAAATGTCAAATAAAACTAAAAAATGCACGTTAAAAATAATAAAAGCGTATTATGCGTATGTGCGAGGGTGTGTGTGCAGAGGAGTCTCTCTCTCTCTCTCTCTCTCACACACACACACATACAGACACATGAGTGGCGTTGCGCTAATAATAACATGGTGCAAAAACCGTTGCATACTTTTATGCTTATTTCAGTTAATTCCACTGTTTTTTTTTTGCCCCCTTTGCTAGGCGTGTTCTATAATTTTATGTAAACCGTGTGGCGGTCGACCGAAACAAGTGGGCGCGGCATGCGGTCCATATACAGCGCGCCCTTTTATTTTAACCAAATAGTTATTTTTGTTTTTGTTCACAAGACAAATATTTTGTTACAAAAAAGGTTAGTGCAAGTACATGATTAATTTTAGTGCTAAAGGACTTAGGTTGAATGGCTAATGGAATTCAAAAATCAAAGCTATGCAGTGTGGAATTTATGCATAAAGGATTGGCGGTGCAAAGTACTTTTTCTCAATGACATTCCCATCACTTTGAAGCCCATTTAATCATTCCATTCGGCACAGTATCTCGCTGTTTCTGTTCCTGGTTAAAGTATTTATATTTCAGCAATTTCTGCATTCAATCTTTATTCTGATTCAATTTTTATTTTAAACAAATAATTTTAAAATATTATATATTCTTCGCGCTTCCCGCTGCTATGCAAAAAACATATAAAATGAAGACCCTCCTGACATGCGCCCCAAAAAATGGTGAACATAATTTTTTGGCCAACTCCATAAAAAGAAGAGGTGGAGATTGCAGTGCAAGGCTGCCCCTTCCCTCCATTTTCATTCGACACAAAAAACGATGCAAAGAAAGTGGCAGAGCCGAGTACACACTAACATGATAGGCTGGCTCTCACTCACACATAAGCGTGGGGCAGGGTACATACGGAATATGTGACCAGTGCCAGGGAAAAGCATAAAAAACGAAGAGCTGATGCTGGCTTTTTGTTCGGCCATCCCAATGTGCAGATGAGAGTGCCAAGTGTAGTAATTCCAATTGAGGCTGGGACTGGGTACCGAGCCGAGACCGAGGCCGAGGCCGAGTCCTGACTGCCAAAGTCCAGCTACAGGAGCAGCAACAGCAACAGCGGCGTCAGTGGCAGTGGCAGGATCGGAAAAAAAGAAAGTGTGGGTAATTAAAAAAGTAGCAGCAGCCGCTTTTGAGCGTAGAAACGCACTAATTTTCTGTAGTGCAACATACACACAGTAGTATGTGTGCCAAAGAGGAAACGCAAAATTGACACACTCATACAAGCACGCAATGGACAGCTCTCACACACACGGGAAAACGCATGCAGGCAGCTGGCAGAAGAAAAAAATGGGAGTGTAGCATACTTTTAGGCATGCTGCTATTTCACTTTGTCTCGCACAAATGAACACCTCTCCTAGGCTGGCCCCCTGCTACAGCCTTTTTCGCTTTTATATATATGTGTGTGTGTGCACCGCTCATCAGCGCTGCAAATTCTGTTAGCTCCGCACCGCAATTTGTGGGCATTGTGGGTGTGGCATATCTGGCCGGACACATCATTCGTCCAAAAATTCGTACTCTGTCAATGCTGGTGTTGTGCTGCACAACAAAACTGTAACTACAATACACTTTTTGTTCTTTCTTATTGTTTCATCTTTTTTGTGGCATACAGTAAGAGTTTCTTTTATTGCATAATTGAATACAGAAAGGTATTATGTTGTTCTGTAAACTGCAGCTACTGTAAAGATCTTTGTGATCTCTCATCAGATCTTGAGCCCACCCAAGGCTGTGTCCCACGCATATCGCTGACACTCTACCAGAGATTCCTTTCAGCTGCAGCAGCAGCAGCAGCAGCAGCATATTCTCACCTGTGGCAGCTGGCACCTGCCTTGCCCTTTGCGAGTGTTCTGCCACAAATAACCGTTAAAAAACAATAAGCTCAATTAGCAGCAATCAACACATGCAAAGGGCCGATGCATAATTGACATTTTACGAGGCAACTGCAGCTGTTCGGCGCCCTGGCCCAGGCTCAGCTCCCGGCTCTGGTTCTGGCTCTTGTCCTGGCTTGAGTGTCATGCCAAAGAGTGCGTGGGGCACTGTGAGCCGTGAATGAATGTGAGAAAAAGGGGAATTCGATATGAGAGTGGGGTATTGAAATTCGAAACTTTTCCCCGAATTAATCAACTGGAAAATTGTAAACAAAAGCTGGTGTCTCGTCCGGGGTCCTCTGAGGCCACGAATCCGACGCCGAATGGGGCCAGGATTCATGCAACCAACGGTTGCCATCGGCATCAGCATAATTTAACTGTTGCAGGCACTACCCTTAAGATACAAACAGCAACAACAGGCGGGGGTGGGGGAAAAATTGGGAATCGGGATAATCGTTTATGGACTCACCTGCGGGCACATTTTGCACTGATACTTGCGTCCACTGCCACCGCCTGGGGCATGTCCACCGGTCCCCGCACCGACACCTCCCGGGCCGCCGCCCATTTTGCTGGCATTGATGGGTTGGGGCACGACGAGAAGAGAAGCCGCCGCCGAGGCAGCTGCCACTGCAGAGCTGTGATGATGGGCAGCAGCAGCGGCTGCGGCGCTCACATGATTCCCATGATGTGATGGGGCGCCCAGGCTGGAGTTGCCTCCGCCAGAGGTACCACCACCCGCACCGCCATTGGCGGCACTTCCCAGACCCAGGCCACCTGCAACAAAAGCGGTGAAAGGAGAGGTTCCGAATGAAATGTGATCCAGAGCTTATACAATCCCGAAGATGACTCATCTCCCCCTCTTGGATGGGGCTGTCTCAACAGATGCTGCCACATGTAACTCACCTTGTCCGGCCACCGCATGATGCTCCAGACGATTGTCATCCAGAAAGTGACCTGCAATGGCAATTGAGTTGTAACATTTCTTGGACTTGCGACTTGAGACTCGCGACGAGCGAGTTGTGTATGTCAGCCGTGTGGCGCCGTCTAATGCTGCCCCATGGTTGTCCATCAAGTCTGGTTATGCTTCAGTTCGGTTCGGTCCAGTGCGAGTCGGAGTCTGATGTTGCCGCAAACGTTAACGTTCACTCACGTTGACCATGTCGCCACCTGACCAGCACTGCCACCACATCATCCTCTTTACTGTGGCGTCTCCTGGCTCCTACTCGTTTTCCGTTGTCCGTTGCCTGCTTTTTGCCTCTAATTAAACTGAGACATTAGTTGGCCTCACTGATTGCCACTGGGAAATCGCTCGACTGTGCTGCTGCTGCTGCTGTTGCTGCTGCCGCTGCTGCGGTGAGGAATTATGTGAAAATAGTTTCACATTTGCACGGGTTTTAGAATTTTTTTCTCGACTGACTGCCTGCCTGAGGCCGCCGGTGGTTGGTTGCTTAGGCCATTTGCGTGCAAAAATTGTGTGAATCTGTTAATGAGTTTGTCTGTGGCTGTGGCTGTGCTGTGCTGTGCTGTGCAAGGGTTTAGCAGGATTTAGGACAATCATCTAGTTATGAACATAATTGGCCAGCTCTGCTCAATGGTTAATGAAGAAATTCTTTAATAATCCCCCACTTGTGGCGCCCCAGCAGCTATGTCAAAAACATTTCTCTAATAAAACATTTGCAGGTACATAATTGCTTGGGCATAAACACTATATCCTCCTCCCTATAAACTTGTGTTAATTACAAAAGCTGGCCAAGTGGCGCCAACCATTTGCGGCATTTCAAATGAGAGACCACTGGCAATATGAGCAACAGATACGAGTATATGTAGGTAGACCCATGGCCCATCATAGTACTGGTAAATGTTGCCTTTTTGTTAATTTGTTCGAAAGGAGAGAAGGAGAGAGAAAGATCGAGAGTTTGCCACAGAATCGCACACAGATCCGAGTACATCTACATCGATGGTAACAATGTGGCCAGATGCTTATCGCAGTTGCAGCAGCAGCAGCATCAGAGGCAGCAGCAAGATCAACAGCAGCAACAACAACCTTATTGGCCAATTGCCTAGCGTTGACATTATCGGACTGAGATCATTGCCGCCAACGTCAACGCCAACAAGCACTCGGGGGTCCAGCCTCCAGCGTTCAGCCTCCTCCAGCTCCTACAGCTCCTCCAGCTCTCCAGCCTATGGCCCACAGTCTCCGTTCTCCAGTCTGCAAACGGGAGCGTGTTGCTGTCAATGTTGCAGCAGCAGCAGCAGCAGTAAAAGGAGCAGCAGTAGCAACAACTAAAATGTTGTTTGCATTTTAGGAATTTATGTAAACATCTTGTAAGCATCTTGCAACAGCAGCATCAGCAGCAGCAACGGCAGCAACAACTGCTGTTAAAGGTCAATTTTTGGGCTGCTTTGCGGCTATGGATACTCCGTGGGAGTACATTGTCTTTCGAGGCTTTTGTTGTTCCGCGGCCCGCACGCGTTTTCCAATTTAACTTTTGCATTCTTGCCCCTTTTGCAGCATTCAGTACGAGTACGAGTACGAGTACGAGAGTATCTTTGAGATCGGTATCTGGTGGAGATCTCTGGTTCGCGCGCCGCGATCTGAATCTGACTCCATTGAGATCGCAGGCCCTGTGCAAATTCGTGATTATCGTTCGATGTTTTTCTGAGCAATTAATTAACAAGCGCATTGTTGTCAGTCAGGTTTTTGGGTAGGTCAAGTGATTGGGATAGGTCCACAGTCTGTGGTCCGCAGTCCGCGAAAAGGGACAGTCCGCAATTCCGCAATGACTCACCTTTCTGCAATTGGTTGTGGTGGTGATCGTTCATTTTGGCCTGAAAGGGAGAGGATAATTGATGACTAATCAGAAGCGTTGGCTTTGTAGGGATTCAATTGATTCGATTTGCGACTAGTGTAGTGTCTAATCCAACAAATACCCGCTAATTGCTTGTTGTTTAATGTCAATTCATAAATATTCCACACACATTTAATTAACCTCATCAACCCTAACATTATTATCAAATATTCATTTTGCCCGTGAGTGTGCTCCAATCAAATGGCCATAAAACAATTTGCAGAATGCTGTCAAAATATTTAAACAAAATTTCCTAATGATTCGGCTAATCGTATTAAAAATGTTGCACATGGAAAACAAAATGTCATTTGGCAAAACAAATGTTTTCGCCAGCTGTCAGGACGAGTCAAAGCGCCAGCAAAGCGATAAATGAATCGGGGAAAAAGCAAATCGAATGCGTGACAAAAACCGGTAGACCCATCAAATCGAATAGTAAAAGAACCCATCAAACCCATAGCCAAAGACCCGTGAAACCCATAGCGACCCGTCAAATGCAATGACAGAAAATCCCGGCGAGAAAATATAAATAAAAATTCTAACCGACGGCAAAGCGAGAGTGAGAGATAAAACGAGGAATGCGAGTAAAACCCAGAGAAAATAGTACGAGTAGCATAGAAAAAATGGCGCACAGCTTTCGATTGCATGTAAATTGTGAATATGGGTTAAAGTCCTTTAGCCACCGGACATGACCTAGGACAAACCCCAGACAAACACACAGACAGAGGGACGGACAGACGGATAGACGGACGGAAGGACTATCTATATCGATGCCTGGAAAATGGAAATCAAATAAAATAAACTCCCAATGAAACGCCGCATGCCGCTGGCTGGCTTGCTGTCAAAAAATAAATGACAGCCGGCTTTTTTTCTAAACAATTTCAATATGCTTAGAGGAAGAGAGCTGGGTCAGGGGTTCCCCCCCTTAAAATGCAACAAGAAAATATAAATACGAATACAAATATTGCAGCGGCAACAATAGGAAGGCAAAAAGCATAGAGCGAGTCTGGCAGCGACCAGACACAGTCAGCTATAAAAGTATATAAACCAGGCGTTTGTGTGTAGGGGGTGGTAATAGGGGGCGGGTGCCGGGGAGGAGCCGGTTCCGACTGGGGGGAATGGAGGGAGAGGTTGCATAAAAGGAAGAGCAAAACAAATCCAAAACGATGGCGGCACGCGAGCTTAGAATTTGTTTGTTCTGCTCTCGTTTTCCGCTGTGTGGTTGTTGGCGAACAGCGGGGAGGGGTATGCATATGCCATAAAGTTATTCCCCCGTTTGTTTTGCTAACATTTTGATACGGATCTATAGATAAACCCACACACACACTTAGATATTTATATGCATATACAGATATGGGGTGGACACTTACCTCGTATTCCTGTTTCAGGGACATTGGATGATGCTCGCTGGCATGCTGATGACTGCGCGGCGTCGGCGGCCAAAGATTGTAATCGCTTATGTCTTTGGCATGCTGTGGTTTTTTTTTTTTTTTTTTTTTTGTATTTGCCATGTTTGGTTTTGTTTTATGGCCAGCGTTTTGTTGGTCAATTAGTGGCGGCATATGGAAATAGAAAAGCGAAATATGGGATGAACAATTTAGATTGGGATGCTCGTTGGGAGTTAGTAAACAAAAGAGACGCCATGGCGTGATGTGTGCAAATTTACAGCAGGATGTTGCTCATGTCTCACATGATTACAGAAGTTAGGATATCTCAGATATACCTTTGACATATTTTTTGGGTTCCCTTCCTAATTTTTTAATTAATAGAATGAATAATTTTTAGTTTTATATCAACTAATTTTTGTACATCTAAGAGCGCATATCTTAATGGCATTCCAACGAGCCAATTCATTTAAACTAAAACTTATTTGCTTTGTATAATTTCTAGTTTTTTTGAAGCTATAAAATATGAAAAAATATAGTGGAAGTTGATCTTTTTTGTATGCTTTACTTATTCGCTTCTTTTTTTTTAGTTGGTTAACAAAATTGTTTCCATTTTTCCCTTTGCTAGTTCTAAATTAATTCAAAGTTTTTATATGCAGCTTGTGTTTGTGCCACTTCAACAAATTACAAATCATTTACAAATATGTATGTATCTGATTTCATAAGCATTAATCCAAAGTTTCTATTTTCAAGTGTTTGTTTTATAACATTCCAAACAATGGAAACCTTTACCCATTGATCTACTCGAAACCAGGGCCTAATTTTTTGGTAAAATCCCAATAAATCCCAAAAAAAAAAATGTCACCAATGCTCGAACTTGAAACCAGGAAGAGAAGTCACAAGGAAAAAAAAGTGGGGTCAAAAGCTCGAAGGACTAATACAAATAAATGTGAGTGTCAATTGAAATAGAAAACCGCGTGCCACGCAATCGAGGTGTCAAAGCGACGGCGACGGCGATGCCGAGGAGACCGGCAAAAGTGCGGCGGCTTTTGGTGTTGGTCAAAAGCAACAACAAAAACAACAACAACACAAAAAATAGAAGAAACAGCAGCAGGAGTAAAACCAAATAAAACTAAAAAAAAGTGGTGCATAGCGCAAGGGGGAGTTGGCCAGTGTGTGATAGGCTCTCACATATGTGATGCGAAGCGTGTGTGTGTGCGTGTGTGTGTGTGTGGGTGTGAACCGCTGAGCGTTAGCACTTTTGTTGTTTTAGTTGCTTTTGTGGAGGTTCATAGTTGACCATCCTCTCGGATGGGGGACCGACCAACTACCCATCCACCTCACCTCTCTCTTTTCTTTGCCATTCTTTCTGTCTCTTTCTTTCTCCATCTCTGCCCTCTCGCTCACACTCTGGCCATCGTGAAGCTGCAGCCATGACTAGTTAGTAGGTGGGCTAGGAAAAAATGCAAACAGAGACAGACAGACAGACACACACGCACACTCGCACACACGCAGCTGCTGATGAAGATGACCAGAGCCATGGACATGGCTGTGGACATGGACGGAAGTCCTCTCTAACCAACATTGCCAGCCATACAGCCAGCAATAGGAAGGCATCGCCTGGCCCCATACACCCCGTCACCCGCGACGACCATCCGGAGTTTGGGTTTCCAGCACGCAGCAAAAATGAACAAAAAAAAAGAAGGAGAACCAAAGAAAATTTTCGAAAAGAAAAAAATGGTACAGCGCAGCAGCAGCTTTCTCTTTCTCTCTCTGCCTCACACACACACAGAGACACTGTGGCATTTTTCTTCTCCTGCTCCCCTTTTGAAGCTCCAAAACAGCGAAAACGTAAAAAAATTTCTAGAGGAAAAAAATCAAAACAAATTTTTTAACCCCTTCGCAGGGAGCAGCAGTAGCAGCAAAAGCAGCAGCAGAGCAGAGACGTCGACTTGGGGCAGAACCAAAGGATGGTTGGATGGTTGGGTGGTACGGAGGGGAGTTGGGGCTGCTGGACAGAGGGCAAGGCAGAAAGGCGGCTGCTTCTATGCAATATAAAAAAGTGCAAAAAATTAGGCGGAAAACGTTGAAAAATTCTCTTTTTTCGGTTGTTTTCTTCCTCTTTTTTTTAAATTTTTTTTGCAATTGCACGTCCAGACTTTAACAGAGACTCAAACCCTAATGCGCGTTGGGAACATTGTAGCGACCTTTGCGGAGATCCACGCCCCCATACTCCCAAGACGTGCCCTGCTCTGCCCTCACCTTGGTTTTGCATTGGGGTCTTTTTTTATTTTTATTTTTACACTCCTCTGTGCATTTCATTTTTATTTAACTTCTTTTGCCCTCACATCTTTTTAGTCATGTTGCCACTGTCTGCTTCTATTGATTTTTTTCGCATTTTAGAACTGAATTTTGTTGTTGTTGTTTTGTGTTCAAATGTTTGACCATCCGCACTTGTGTTTCATCTTTTGTTTTTTTTTTTTGTCGCCAAACTGCTGCGTCCTGCGGCTGCCGGGAGCTCTGAGGTTAGCAATAGGTCCTTGCTGATTTTGTTGTCTCACAAAAATTGTGCTCAACTTTGCAGCAATTACTTTAAAAAATTGAAGTTGCTTGCGGTTTTGGCGGTTCCCTTTTTCTCTTACCCAGGTCGTTTTTATTTTTCTTTTTTTCTGGTCTAACTCCATTCCCGATTCGTTGTGCCGCGATTCGACTCTGGCCCCATTAGTCAGAGCTACAGCTACAGCCTCCGTTCTGGACTTGGACACGATTCCTGTCAGATGTTTTGGGAGTTCATGGACTGGCTTTCATTTTGTTTCTCATTTCGCATTTCACTTTTTTGTTTGGCATCACATTGACGGGTTCTGTTCGCCTCTAATTGAAGCATAAGTATTAATTGCAAAGCTTTGTTCGAAAACGTGCCGTGGTTAAGGGTACACTTTTTTTGTTTCTGTTTCGGAAGTTATTAATTAATGGAGTCTATTGGATTCTTGTTTAAGCTATCTAAGGAAATTCCTCTTCAAAACGTTCATTTGAAACCTCAAATAACTATGGTTTATATAACACAATGATTTTCTTTACAAATAAATGTCTTTTCTTCGAATTTCCCCATAGAATCACGCTAAACAAATCCAATTTCTTACAAGTCAAGTCTTTGGACAGGGAAAAAATTAAGTGCAATTGCTTTCAAAATTAATTAGTGAGCTTTACTGCCAACTTTGCTCTGCTTCTCTACTGGCTAACTAATTTCGCTAATGCAAGTGACAACAACAGCAAAAAATATCCTGATTGTTGAACCAACAGAGACAGAGGGAGAGAGAGAGAGAGAAAGTAGGAGCGAGAGAACGAGATGGGAAGAAAGAGAGGGCAAGAGACCATTGTCCAACTTTAAAAATTAATTAACTATCCTTTAAGAATCATGCGGGTGTAGCAAAGTTTTTAAATGGTTTTTCCCAGAGACTTTGCTAACGAGTCAACTCAATGGGGCACAAGAGAGTGAGAAGGAGAGATAGGTACAGTGAGAGAAAGAGAGAGAGAGAGAGAGATAGAAAGATAGAAAAATATAAAGTCAGAAAGAGAGGCTAGTGAAGGTGAACGTTTCTGCCTGGACACGTCGTTGTCCTTGGAGACAATCAATCTCCATTCAAAACAATAATTTCGCTGCTGCTTCCATAAAAAAAATGTGGAAAAACTGACAAAAAACTCGCTGGAGCTCAATGAAAAGCAAAAGGGAAAATAAGGAAAACAAAAAAAAACACAAAGAAAAAGGGAAAAACTCAACAAAAACAATGTTTAACGCGTTGCGCAAAGAAAAACTTGTTTACATCTTGAAAAACGCAGAAAAAATTCTATAGAAAAAACGTAGTACGCCCCCGCCCCCGTTACTCCCGTGGCACGCGTGCAGAGAGCGCGACGCGTTCAAGGAGTTTTTTTGGCAGGAGCAGAAGGAAGGCAAAAACAGGGGAGAGGAAAAACTGCAAAGGAGACGGACTGCGAGAAATAAGGAGGAGGAGAGGTAGACCACGCTGCTCAAAAGGATTTTTTTCAGCGTCGCGTCTGCTGTGGCAGGGGAAGGAGCAAGGGCTCTCGTAGAATGGGGCTGGATGCTCTGGCTTAGCTTCGGGTACGGTTTTGGCCATGTAGCAACAGACAGTAAATGGTTTGAGTTCCGGCCAGTTGTTGGCCCGAAGTTTTGTCGAGTGAAAGTACAGCCTCAAAGGGGAGAGGAGAGGAAGTGGGTGGTTGGGCAGGTCTGGGTTGGTCTTTGCCCAACTTGGCGGCGTAACGAATCGCTATAGATGAGCTGGTGAAATTTGCTGCTGAAAAAAGGGTTGCGAGTCTCCAGTCCGTGGGAATGGGTTCTGTAATGAGTTGACCTGAAGCTGGGCTTTCAACTTCGCTGAGGGTTAAGGTCGTTGTCTTTTGCAAGTGAACTTGGAATAACTTTCCAGCAGCAGTAAAAGCTATGGGATACAAAGTCAGATAAGATCCAACAGCAACGTGATAAAGTGTTAATTCCGAAACAAGTTGAGAAAAATCTTAAAAATATATTAAGTTAGTCTTAAAACCAGTTAGCAATGGCTCATTCTTTAGTATGCATCACTTATTTAATTCTGTTAGCAAAAGAAGTCCGCTTGCATATTAATTATGGAGATACTAGAGAAGGAAAGTCCCTTTATTGGACTCGGGCCAGCGAGTGGCAACTGCAAGTGCCAACTGCAGAGGGAAGTATAAAACTTTTCCCTTACTTTTCACCCTCATTCGCTCTCCTTAACTACCAAAAGTTTGTCCTTGCAAAAAGAGGGGAGAAAAATCACAAGACAAACTTTGGCGACAAGTCGAAAGTTGCTGGAATTAACAAGTGCCACGCCTTCGAGGACGTTATCCTTATGATCCTCATACTCACATCCACATTGCCATTCCACATGTAGTGCATGCCCACGGCTGCGGTGGGATCGTGATGCGTCTGGCCCGTCATGTGCTCGGCCATCACGGCGCTCATCCAGTGGACCAGTCCCTGGGTGGGGTTCTGACCCTGAACACCGCCGATCGGCATATTGGCGGCGGCAGCAGCAGCGGCGGCAGCGGCCACAGAGGCGGCCCTCGAATTTGGGTTGGAGCTCGAGCTGGAGCCAGAGCCGGAGCCGGAGTGGTGTTCCTGGCTTTTGCACGTGGCGGCTGCCGATGTGGCGGCGGTGGTGGTGGCGTTCGCCGGTTCTGGTGGTGACTTTATGGAGCTGCCAAAGTTCGGACGCGTCTGTGATGCGGGTTGGGTCTGATTCAAATTAATTGCGGACACTGAAGTCGCTTGGGTGGCGTTGCCTTCGATGGGTGGCGTTGGTGGTGTTGTTGGAACGACTTCGTTGTTGTTGGATGACCAGGAGTAGCTATTGTTGTTGTTGTTGTTGTTGTTGCTGTGGGGTTTCTGCAATGAAAAATTGTTCCTTGTTTTAGTGAAAAGGGTTTTTTTTTGCGTTTTGTTCAACATTTGCGTAGAGAGAGATGTGTGCTGGTTAATGTATCGGGTATGAAAAATGAAATTGAATGAATGGAGTTGAACATTTTTGATGATATTATTGTTGGCGGCTAGACCTTCCCTTTTTGGAGAACTTCCTGCAGGGTTACATATCTAATCAGGCTTTTTGGGATGTAATTTTAATTGCTGATAAAATGGGGGCGAGATATAAGTACGAGTATATGTATGTAAAAGTAGCTCTTAGTGGTGGTTGAAATTCTGCAAAACACTTTATTGGGAAGAGTCTGTGAAGCCTTGACCTTTCTGTATAGAAAACGGAAATTGGCCTGTGCAAAGCTCTTAATTATCACCCATTCAACAAAAGAGCAAAGGTTGATATAGTATTAAGCGTTTAAGGCACTCGAGATGGTACCAAAATGGCTTTTCTTAGCATTTGTATACAAATAGAGCCTGGCCAACCCCAATAGCCATACTAACATGCTGTCGTCCAGTGCTCTTCTCAATCACATGCCGCTCCTCCTCCTGGCTAACATCTCCCTGTGGTTCCTGCGGCTCCTGCTCATCCTGCTCCGTCTTCACCTGGTGGCTGCGCTTCGCTGACGCCGATGCGGACTCTGCGGCCGCAGCACAAACAGCCGCCGCAGCCGCCGAGGAGAATAACAAATTGCTGGGCAGATGTGAGCGGGCGGAGGACGGAGATGGTGTCGCACTCGACGCTAGGATGGGCGATGGCGTTTGGGAGTAGAAGCGGATGGCGTCGCACTTCTGCTGCTGCTGCTGCTGCTGGAGAACGGCGCTGGCCAGCAGGCTCTTGTAGAATTCGGCGGGCATCAGGAAAGGGGACGGGGATGAAGAGGCGCCCATGTAGTGGGTGAGCTCTTGGGTCTGGTGCCGCTTCAGATGATCCTTCAGCCTCTCCATGTCCATGTCCATGTCCCTGTCCGGATGGCTCGTATGGTTGTATTTGCTTATGACTTCGTGCATGACAAACGCCCAAGCGCCCAAATGTAGGCAACAGTTTTTATGTTCCTTTTGTAGTCCTTGCCGTCGATTTCACTTTCAAATGCTGGGGAAAAGCGGGTAGTGGGAAGCCCGCTTACAGCAATTTATCTAACTGAAGCTCAGTTTGTTTGATTTTTCCCACAAACACACACACACAGGCACACACAAAAAAGAGTTGGGAAAAACTTTTCCACAGAATTATTTTGGCTTAACTTTTATTTTATTTTAGAACGTGGTGTATTGCACTTCAAAAACTTGTTCTACCCGTCGAGAAATTGAAACAAATGGAAATGATTTGCCACCACCAGAAACTTGCCACAGATGACCTTGAAAAAGTTGTTTCTTAGTTTTTTATTACGATTTTTCTATGTGTGTGTGAGGGGGTTTCCCTGATGGGCATGTGTAGAGATCTGTTCTTGTATTATTTTGAATATTTTGCTATTCCTATTTGTTGTGGATTTTTTGCTTATTTTTTTTAGCAAACAAACAACTGCGGGTCTCTCTATGATGATTTATTTGTTCGGATGGGTTCTTTATTTGTCAGTTTGTTGGTTTTCTTTTCATTTATGATGGTTTCATTTTGTGGCCGTTTGATGTGTGGCGTGGCAGGAGCTTAGGTTATATTTGTCACACGGTGAGTGAATAAATGTGATCCCATGAGAGGTTTACCATGTTTTAGGAAAATTCTTTTTAAATATTTGCAATTTGTTTAGCAATTTTGGTTTATATAATTTTTAGATATATTTGCGTGTATGTTACGGATATGTTTTTATTTTATTTTAAATATAAATATTGTAGATTTGATTTATAAATATAGACTTTTGCACTACGTGATAGGAACTTTGCGTTGCATTTTTGGTTGATTTATAGACTATAAGATTACATAGTTATATTTAGTATTCTCTTTTTGTGTTTTTTGTTTCTTAAAGGAACTTCATTTAAGCGCTCGATTGTGTCTCGGCCACTGTGGAGGGAAGAGAGTGGATGGGGTGTAGCTTTTCTTGCGAAGAGAAACGAGCATCGCGTATACGCCACCGACACTGTACCGGTCGTTCCCGCCGAGACGTTTTAACGGTTTGCATATCACATTTAAGCCGGTTGCTGTTTCGTTCACTTATAGTATCAGGCGACGCTGTAGTTTCAGTTAAAGATACTCATTTTGTTGCCAGGATTATGTATGCTTCTGTCTCTGTGTGTGTGTGTGTGTTTTGTATCCCGTCCGTGTGTGTCCGTCTGCGTCCGTCTACGTCAGGGGCAGCCAGCAAGCGTGGGATAGCTTGCAACAACTGAAAAACCGAACTGGAACTCAAAGTGCATTAGCAGCAAGCAACTGAAGAGGCATGAAGCTGGGAAGCTGCGGCAAAAGAAAATTGCGAGCGCGCGCGAACCAAATGTATATACAAACACACATACACACACACACACCACACACACAGATAACGTGTATGTGTTAACGGGGACTCTTGTGTGTTGTGAATGTTTTGTTGCTCCTCCACCGTAACCTTCCTTCAAGCTCTGCTGCATGCTGCTCTTTCCTGCTTCGTCCTGCTGCTCCTGCTTTTTGTTGTTTCTAGAGCTTGTTCTCCTGTTTCTTTTTCCTATTTTATTTTATAATTCTCCCCCTTGGCCCCTTTTTATATGCACGCTGCCCCGTTATAAAGACATACATTTGCAGTTTCAGCGCGCCACTGCAGCATTTTCCTTGTAAGAAGCAAAACGAAGAATGGAGGAAAAAATTGAAGAAAATAAAAGCTGAATTTGCGCGACGCTGAGTGACGCTAAGGGGTTGACGCTTTGGTTGGGCAGGAGGGTAGAACGTAGGTGCTCTTGCAAGACAGATTGATTTTCTTTTATACGGTTTGCTCATGTTTGTGATTTTTATTATTTTGATTCCTCTCTTTTTGCGCTCCTGTGAGCGAGTGTAGGTGTATGTGTAGGTTCTTTAGGAACTGAAGCTCTATGTGTCCTTCTGTATAGATTCTCTTTAGATGTGATGGGGGCCCTTCTATTCTATAGATGTGATGGCCGTAGGCGTGGACAACAATAACAGCATGTGCCACATTTCCTTTTACAATTGAGTGACCCCGGAATCAGTTTTTGGTATTGCGGTGGACTTGAAAGGCAGCCAAAGTTCAGTCAGGAGGCAATTCGCTGCCAAGTTACGAAAAATATGAATGGTGTGCAAAATAAAATCCTATGAAAATACGTTATTGAAGGATTTTGAGACCAAAACCATCATATATTGCTAGAGGATTGCTACCAAACTGGATCACTGACCAAACTCTAAGAACTTTATATTTAATCTGTCTTTCATCAGCTTCCATCTGCAGTCATCTAAGTCTTTTAGATCTTTAGAAAACGAAACCAGACACGGATCTACCTCAGGAGACAACTCCTTCCGTGATCAGATCTCTTCTTTATGATGAAGTCTGTTGGAATACCATTCTCTTTGGAGTCCCACTACTATCATTTCATTTTGGCAAAGATTGAAAGCGAAATCCTTCTTAATCCAATTGACCCTTATATCTTCCATCATACGGATATCCCCTCGTCCTGTCTTGATTAATTACGATTGCAACCCTGCCTACAGATGTCTTGTGGCGCCATCTACTGTGTAATCGCCGCAGCTGGTGCTGTCTTCTGCTGCAGCTGCTGCTGTCAACCGCGAAACCGTTCACCACGTAGCAAAAAGCCGCAGCACGGAGACGCGAACGCGAGCGAGCGAGCAACGTGGCACCGCGACCAATAGATTTGGCCAAACCCTGGCGAACTGAAGACAACGACAGTTGCACTCCCGCCAAAGGCAACAAACTCGGGCTGTGCCACATGCAACAATCCCAGCGTCGGCGTTGACTGCGGCAGAGTCTTGCCAGGAGCAGCGGCATCAGCAGCGACAGTGGCAGAGGCAGCGGCAGAGCAGGACAAAAAAAAAAAAACAAAAATGGAAAACAGACAGCGGAAGCGAGCTATTTGGTCCGGTCTCGGGACTTACGCTAGTTGCGGGGCGGGCTACAGCTCCAGCGACTTATGGCCCTGTTTGTTGTAAGTAGCAGGAGCAGAAGCAGCAGCAGAATCAGCAGCGAAATGGCGCGCGCGAAAAGGAAACTCAAGAAGTAGAGCTCTGCAGCAGGAGCAGGGCGAGGTAGGACAAAGGAGCAGAGGGGCAGGGGCGCCAGCCGTAACAAACACTCACACACACACATACATTCACATGGACATAAAAAAACCCAAGTAAAATTGTATTTTTTCTTGCACATGAAGCACAAAAAACGGCAGCAAACTGAAAGAAATACATTGCAGGCAGCGGGCAACGTCGAGAAAAAAAAACGAAATAATAACAAAAAGTTGTAAAAGAAAAGCGAAACCGTGTGATGTCCTGGCGCACACATAGAGGCACACACATACACCGATACATACAGAGGATACCAGCAGAGGCAACGCCGCGACGACACATCGAAGAAAGGATAAAAACCATTCAGAGCTGCTGCCCGACGTCAACGACGCCGTTGTCGTCAACGCCGCTGCGCTGCCAGCGTTCGTCCTCAGCTCCAGCTCCAACGTTCCGTTCCGCTGTTCAGCGCTATATCCTGGGCCCCGTGCCTGTCCCTTAACATTTCACGAGCGCCAATTTCTTTTCCTTCATTTTGTTTATATTATTTTCCGTTTTTCTTCATACCATTTTTTTCGATCCATGCAACCAACCTTAAGTGTGCTGTTGTGCTTCCTCTGAATTTTTTCCCCTATTTTCTGCTTGCATTTTTTCTCTATTTAAATCGAGATTTGTTTTGCGAGGGGGGAGATGGGGAGGCCATCGAAAATCAGTCACGTATTGCCAGGTCAAAACTAGATCAAGATTATTTAAAGGTTTTTCCGGATTATACGTATGTTGCTTCTGCTGAGAAATATTTATTCTTTGGATGAAAACATTGCTCTATAAAAGATATATCTTATATAACACAATACTTCAAAGTCTGCTTTTAGAATTCCTAGCTTTATTCTATTCTGATAATTTATTTGAATATAATTAGTATCGCAGAATCGTTAGACATTGTTATACCTCCTGGTTTTCCTATCAAACATATACATATATATCTTTTATACATAAGGATGATATCTTCAGTAGATCTTATAATCACTTGGTCACTCCATCAGTTTGACATGATGGATTTCTAAAGTATATCTAAGATTACTTTCCTGCAATGCATTTTCCTAAGCCGATTTGCTCAAAAGGAACTATGACAAACGGCAGGGAGTCTCTGCCCCAACCTCTGTTGGAGTTGCACTTGCAGAGCTGCTGGCGCCGCAGTTGACGCTGCGCGGGCAGCAAGCCAGCGCATGGTGGAAACGGGGGAAAAACAGAACCTAAATCCTGTTCAGGAGCATATGTTTTTCTGTGTATATGTTTGGAGCGCTGTTTTCCTTTTTATGTGCAAGGATTTCCAGCTGCCCTTTTTACAACTAACACATACCACACTGGCGTGTGTGTGTGTTTGTGGGAGTGCAGTATCCTTGTGAAATGGCTGATAAGAGTATGGAACGTGCGTCCTTTTTGCATTGCGGGAGAGCAAAGAAAATGGTCTTGGCCTTTAAGACACATGCAAGGGAGTGCAATGAAGATATGGCAAAAGGAATTGCTTTTCGCTGATAATTGAAATGTATGCCAGAGGATGTGTGTGTGTCCTGGGGTGGGGTTAAACAGATAAAAGGTCTGTCTATGAACAGGAAGATGTACTCGTAAAAGTAAATGGATACTCTTTGCTGGAAAAGGTAATTTCCTCTAAAGAATATCTTTGGAATGTTCTTGCAGATTCGCATCAAAGAACATGTATTCCTACAATTATATTTCCCTAAGCCATTTCATATTCGGAGACTCCACAAGTGGCTTGCTTGCAACTTCTTGCCATAACTAAGCTTTGTAAGCACACCCCCCCTACTATTTGCACCTTTCATATGGCAACCTGTTGAAGTCCTTTAGGCGTTTCGCCACTTGACCTCCAAACCATTAGAAGCAAACCCTTCGAGTCAATTGCCATTAGATGGCGAAAAGCTCTGAAAGCCATATAATTATGGCATATCCTGTGCACGAACCAGACGCAGGGCGACAAAAAGTATCCTTGGCAAGCCCATAAAATCCCCCCGCCAAAGCTTGAGTGTTTTTCCCCCGAAAAATGCCACTCGAAAGCACTCGCTCTCTTCCACTGCCCTCTGGCGCTCAGGCACTCTTACACACTCCCCCATAAGAGAGCGGGGGGTGTGTGTGTGTGCTCTTTCATTTGCTCTTCGTGTTGGGGGCGTGTTTGTTTTCGTATTTTTTGCTCGCTTCCCACTTGCGTCTGTCGGAGTTTTTTGTTGTTGTGTTGCCCCCACTCGAGTTTTAAGTGTTATTGGATGATTTTATGGAAATTGATTTGGGGCACGCCCCCTGTTCGGTGTGAGTGTGAGTGTGTGTGTGCGGGGCTGGGAGGGTGCGTGCAAGTGCAGCAGCTGCTCGAATGGGGTTTTTCTGAGCCTAGTACTAACCCCCTATTTAACATAATAACATTATCTCTACGAATACTCGTACTCGTTCGCGTACTCACCCGAAAGTTATGCGTATGCTCGACGGGGCAGTCAAGGCTCAGGGAATAATCCTCGACGACGGCTCCCAGGGACGATGCCTGATCGCCAAAGACCTGCTCGATCTTGATCGATGGACTGGCCAGCAGGGGCGTGTTGTTGTTGGCGTTGTTGGCTCCTCCGTTCGAGGCAACGGTGGCTGCTGCAGCAGCTGCGGCGGCGGCGGCTGCTGCGGCGGCGGCAAAGGTCCCCTCAACGATTAGTGGCTGCCCCTCGCCGCCACTCTGACAGGCACCGATGACTCCAACTGTTGGACCAATGTTGCAGGGCGTTGCCGGTGTGGGCGTGGCCGGGCCCGGAGCATGTCCATCATGGTAGGGTGTCACCACGAACGAGGGATACGAGCGAAACTGATGGTAGTCACTGTGGTGGCTGTGGCCGGCTGCTCCGTGATGGGTGTGTGGATGATGCGCCAACTGTGGTCCTTTGTACCAGGTACCATGCATAATCATTTAAGCAAGTTCGATTGGCGGTTGTGTGAAGCGAAGCTCACTTTCCTACTAAATCGCCTGGCACTCTTCTCTTGGCTTGTGTGTAATCAATATTCAATTGAGCTTTCCATTAGGCTTTGGTTTTGGTCTTAAATTGATATACGAGTATTTAAACTGGAATGTTCGCAATCACTTTGTTTGAGAAATTTGCTTGGAAAATGGGGCTATGGAGAAAGTCAATTGGTTAACCAGTGCAAAAACAATCGGCCTATGAAACACATAGTTCATCTTTGGAAAAGTCTGGCAATTGAATGAGAAACCCCAAAGGAATACGGTCCTAAAACGATTGCGTAACCTTAATTGATTATGTAGTTTATTTGACGACTGACCTGGACTCCACAAAAGGCTTCTTTCTCAATAGGCTTTCCATTTATGTTGATGAAGTCTCACCCGGTATAAAAAAGCCAACCAAAAGCCGCCTTTAAATACTGGAGGACTGTCGAAATTGCCTATCATGGAAATTATCCCATAGAAATTATATACGAATGGAGTTTGGTATATGGTTGAACAAACCCTATAAAGGAAAGGCATTCAACATAGTGAACAACTTTGTATCGACCTCAAGATATGTTTAAACAATCCTTATAGAACTTTCTGGACTTATCCTCACTCTAAGAAGGGTTTTCTAGCTAAACAGCTTTGAAAATTGGTTTTCTTGTATATTATAAAAACTATAGTCTGGACTGTAAGATGACCGACACTTTCTTTTTTCTGTATTGTAATACAATCTTTAGTTAACCAATATTTCTTATAATTTTTCTGGATTTCTAATACATTGCTTAACCATTTGACTTTTTCTTTCATCCACACTTAATTTATTTCTCATAAGTACCACTTAGAATGGGGGGGACCACTTGGAATGATCAGAATATTCAATATTCATACACTTGCATTCACTTTATTCACAGTTGAACACTTTATTAAACCCGTTTATTTTCGGCTCTCAGTGTATTGACACTTGGGTCTTTCTATCCTTTTGAGGATTATTGCTCCTGACGTGTGGTGATAACAATTTTCAACTTCACTTTACTCGATTTTTTAATTGTGATACAGAAACAGCTGCACTCGCGGAATGATGAAAATGCATTGCACTTTGCGACAGAATTCTTCACGGATTCGCGGGGCAAAAACTGGCACTGGCACTGGCGTTGGGACTGAAACAGAAACAGAAGCAGAAGCAGGGACTGGACTGCAAACAGGCACTGGGACTGGCACTGGGACTGGGGCTGGCACCACGAGAAAGACTGCCACTGCAGTCGTCGATGAGTGCACTTGGCTGTAACGCGCGCGCGAAAGTGGCTTGTGGACAGTGGCCAGTAGTTCAGTTCAGTTCAGTTCAGTTCGGGCCAGGTCGTCCAGGCCGGGGCTTAATTTGGCTTAGCGGCAGGCAGAAGAAGACGGCTGGAAGGCGGCACAGCAGCAGCAGGCAAAAAAGTTGCTGCCAGCTCGCAAGAATTCCGAACTCGAATGCTGAGTGCGGCCACGAAAAAAACATTCAAATGCCTCGCACGGTACGGCTCGCCGCCAAATCGCAGCGACGACGACGACGATAGCAGAATCAGCAGCGGCAGGCAGCCCCACAGCTCTCGTTCTCTCTTTCTCTCCAGTGCTCTCTGTCCCTCTTTTACCTGCTCTCTTGCTGCAGCAGTGGCACACTCGCTCTCGCTCTCGCTCTGACGGGGGCAGGCAGCCAGTCTCGCAGCTCAGTCATGGGGCAGCTTTTGGGGCAGACGGCGACGCATGCGCAACAGCTTTTTACTCCTTCTGCACACAAAAAACTAGTTCTCTCTCTGTCTCTGTTGGTCTCTCTTTTTTCTCCCTCTCTCTCTCTCTGTCTTTCAGTCTCTCTAAAAAATTGTTTGTGGTTTTTCGTGTGCTTCGTTGCTTGGGTTTTTGTGCCGCGTCTCTTGAGCAAACTCTGATTTGATTTTGGTCTTTTTGCTTGAGTGGATTTCCTTTTCTCTTGACTTTGAGCATGAATGAGCATGTTCCGCGCTGTTTTTATGGCTAAATCTTTATAGCAAGGAGGCGTGGGCGTTATAATGACTAAAAATGAAAGTTCAATGGAGGAAAAATGAAAAAATGACGCCAGAATCATGAATTAAAACATATTCATCAAGAAATCTTGGAGTTTGTTTTCCTTTAGTGAAGTTTCAGTCTTTCGTAAAATAACACCAACAGAACATCAGAAAATTGTTTTCGTAAATTTTGTTCCAATTTAGTTTGCGGTTTTGCCATCTTTTTGTTTCAATATGTCTGATGAGGTGAAGGATGACAATGCCGCAGGTGAAGGGTCACAGCAGATCCCAGCGGAAGCCGAGAAGAAGGAAGAGGCCGCAGCTGATAGAAAGGGAGGCTCCGAAGCTAATATAAAGGTATCCCCCACGGCCGTTAGCAAGGAACCCTCTCAGTCTGGCAGCCGGCAACTCCTAGAAGATTCAAAGCCGCAAACGTCGGAGAAGCAAAATTCAGATAAAGACAAGCAGAAAAATCCCGAGAATAAGCAGAACGAGCCCCATAATGATCGAGACTATTGGGAATTGGGTCGAGGGATCGTATTCTTTTGCTTTGGAAGCTTCGTGGCCTGGATGCTGACTGAATTTTGATGTAAACAAAATTCGATTGCATAATTGTTTTATCAAATAAATTTTGAAGTGACCAAACAAAAATACGAGTATAGATGTGTTTTAATGGAAAGTGTGCTGGGTAACCTTAAAAACTCTATCTTCAAACCATTTCAAAGTGGAATGAGAAAAACATTCGACATCTACATCCCCTCTCAAGTGCATAATTTTCATAATTTTCAAGCAAACGAAAGAGCAAAAAACCAAAGCACACAAAAAATCGGCATCCGTCGCCCATTAGCCCATTGACCAACTTCGATGGCGCATCGTACGCGTAGTAATGAGTTTTTAATACATGTAATATTCAAATTAAAAATCCACAAAAACCCCGCAGAAGGCAGCCAACAAAAACGGAATGCAATTTTTTTACAGCTAATAATCGCACACATATTCATTTCAACCGGCGGCATCCCACAGGCGGAAAAAAGCATATCACTCATACGCAATGTAAACCAAGCTCAAGAGCAAGCCGCACAAAAACCACAAGGCAAGCAAACGCGCTCTTAAAAAAGACGCCGGCACAAAAAAGAGAGACAAAAAGAAAGAGAGGGCATGATAGAGCGAGAGAGAGCAATAGAGTATGTGCGAGTGAGCGAGCAGTGCGGCATTCAGGCGAAGGCGGTGGAATTTTTATTGGAGCACTTGGTTTATTTCTTTTTCTGCTGCTTGCCATTGGATTGGCATTCTTTTTTTGTACGTATTTTTTTTTGTTTTGTTTCCTTTTGACAAGGCATTTTTTATGGGCAGAGACATGTGTCGCTGGCGGGTGGGAATCGGCCATCGCCTGGAGGAAGATTTTTCCCGATTTTCGGCTCGGCTCGGCTCTGTGACAACTGCAACTGTTATTCCCTGGGGGACAAAAGAGCCAGTCGAAATACATGAAATTAAACTGCAGCTCCTGCAGCTTCGCAGCATAGGAAGGCCGTTTATTTCAGTTAATCAATGCAATTGGCCCGCCGTCCACCTGGGCCGCAGAATACCCATAGGTCTGAATGGAGTATGTCAAATATGCTGTAGGCATTGCCCCTACAATGTTGCAGTCTTCTCCATTTTTGAATTACTAGGAAATTGCTTCATTTAGCGCTTTGTTCTGCCATGGCCTGCCGGCGGGAGGTCGGTCGGCCATTGGCTGCCACTGCATATACATGCATGTACATACATACATACATATGTACATAAAATGAAAATTTCCGTTGCAGTTTATCGACTAATTTGATTATGCCAACAATTTGCCACCCACCACTGCAATTAACTATTTTTTATGACTTGTCATTTAGAAGTATATTCGTATTTTTTATGAGCTCTTCGTGCGGGCTTTCATTTACTTGAGTGCCATACAAAATTTCCTTGTTTGCACTGTCATCAATGCCATTTGGTATTTGCATACGAGCAGACATTTGAAGCGATTCGAATGTGATAAGAGCAAGCCATGACTGTGAGTATGGGTATGGTAATCAAATGCGTTTTATTAATTGAATAGATTTATTTTTGACTGCATTTTCTTTCCCCCTTCCCCAACGGCAATAATTCAAACAACATCAAAGAATACTTGCACTAATTTCAGGGAGAAATGCAGTTTTGCGTCCAAATTATTCTTTTCATCATAAATCGAGCACCTTCTCTTTTTTACCGTATCTTATGTGATTATAAGATACATTATTATTAACATTATGATATATGTATATTAGAATGTCATTTTAATACGGCAATAACTTTTTAAAAAGATATATATTTTACTTACGGGCCCTGCCATATCTCGCTGTGGCGCACATTGTGGATAAAAGGGGATTGTTTCGTCGATGGAGAATATTCCCGCGAGTTTGGAACTGATCTCCGACTATGACAATTAGCTCTTCGCAACCTGCGGCTAAAATTGCGTAATTGCGGTGATTGCGGGTGTGTTTTCTGAAAATTTTCTTTCGTAAAAACCTTCTTCCGTCAAATACAAACCACTGCAAACAAATTTGAGCCAAATCGGCCCAGCCGTTCTCAGTTGGTGAATTACGAAATATATTTCATATTTAAATGAAATACATCTGTATATTTTCCGTATTTAGATCAAAATATTTTAATTTTTAAGTTAAAATGTAAGTGATAACTCTTGCGTTTTAATATTTACTCTCTCGGCTGCATATCTACATATATAATAGCATTAATATTAAAATCGAAGTCTGACTATTTGGGGTTCAGGGATTTTCACTGTACTCTTCTATACTTCTATATTTTTCTTTACTTTTTTGATTCAACAAATGTGGTAATTCCTTGTTTTTTGTGAAAATAATTATATTTTTTATCGCCAACTCTGTGTGTGAGTCAAAAATGTTCAATTTTTAAAGTTAATCAGTGATACATATCTTCTGTTAAAATGTTTGGAAATGCTTGGCGGTCAAAGAAATAATATATTTAACATTTATTTGTGCTTTATTAGGACCATATATCTGGAAATTCGTTCTCCAAAAAGCAATTACTCGACTCAAACAAGCACGTGAACACCAAAATATCCATTTAAATTCAAAATGTATCAGTTGCAACCGCAATGCCATGCAAAATCCTACTCCAGTTGCATGATGAGATATATATTTCTCGCCTCAAACCGCTGCCAGACAGATAAGTGATGCTGCTGCAGATGCCATGGCGGTTGCAGATGCTACTGTGCGGCGCCATGGACTTCATTGCCTCCGAGCGAAATGTCAAAATGCCAGCCGTAGTGAAGCCAAAGCCAAAGCCATAGCCAGGCCGAGAGCAGCCGTCATGGTTGGTCATGGACGCCAAATGGTTGACAGACAGTCCAGACGAAGCGGCAGAAGCGGCAATGGCGCAGGGGCAGGCTATAGGGCTGGGTCCCGTCCCGCACTGAAATGAGTGGAGTGTGGGACGCGAGGGGCAACTGCATTGAAGGTCCGAAACCGGACTCCGCCTTTTGTTGTATGCGCGCATGGCGCATTGAGGCGCTTTCCCCTGATTGGCCAAAACGGGGTAAAGGCAGCCAAAGAGTGAGACGGTTATGGTGTATGGCTGCGCTACCCCAAAGTGGGAGCGAGAGACAGACGTTTCAATGGAGGCTCGAGCGAGACTGCATAAGAGCTTTTGTTGGTGCGAGTGAGCAAGCCTCTGGCCTTAAGAGAGCGCGCCTTGTGGCAGGCAGGCCTCTCTCTCTTAGCCAGGCGGCTGGCCCTTGCAACACGTGTTGGCGTGTTGGCCTGCGTGCAAAATAACTGAGTTTTTGCGCCTCCACTGGCTGCCGATGCCTCTGCCTCTGACTCCGGCTCTGCTGCTGTTCATCCGTCGCGTATTTTGTTAATTTAATTAAACAAAAACGTTTTGTTTGTGTTTTTTATTTGTTGCACGTTGGACGAGCAAACGGTTTTTGCTTTTTTGCCATCGAGCAGCACAAAATGAAATTGGAATCCCGCTCGTGCACAACTTTGAATATGTTGAGCTCTCTCAAATGGTTGTTGTCGTTGTCGATTGTTCGTCTGTCCAAATGTCGTTCTGCTCTGACATTTGAGCTTTTTGCGGCATCTTGTTGGCCCCTCTACCCCTCTAGTACCGCTCTTCTGCAGTGCAAGCCGTACTTGTCATTTAATGACTTGCGCCGTTAAATTTTAATTGAAATATCACACATTTAGAGGCTGGAAATTGCAGATTGTGGATGTGCTTGTGTTGCGGAAGAGACATGGTGTCTGCTTTTGGGATATAGGAAATGGGCAGAACAATCTATAAAACTAGGTTAATACGAGTACCCTTAAAAAACCAGTGAAATTTTCCATCCAAATTATAAACGGAAGTTTTCTTCACTCTAATTTAGAACAACGATCCATTAAAACTGAGAAAGTTTTCCGAAAAACTTCCGCACGTGACTTCCTCCGCGGCAGCAATTGTCGATCTGCACTGATGAGCATCACCATCACAGCATCCAGCATCCATTGAAGACCTCTCCAACTAGAGATCTTGGCACCCAACCATCCCATCCGAAAACCCGCTCTCCCTCTGACAGCCTCAGAAGTTAACGATTGAAGCGGTAATTGGAGACCCAGACAGTCCGTCGAGGCGTAGGCGATTAAAAGACGATTATTTCAATTGTGCAGAAGATGGGTGCACAGAAATAATGATGGTAGAAGGCACTGGATGGATGCTGGATGGATGGATGGAAGATGCTCCTCCTCAGGATAGAGACAGAGAGAAAGAGAGAGAGAGAGACAGCACCTGTCAACGAAATCGGCTTAGCTGTTATGTTAATGCTCCAAAAACGTTGACATTTATTGGCAGTTATTTATGGCGGACACTTCTCGCGCGGACAGAGAGCTTGCTCGCTCTGTTGTGGCGCACCTTTTTGGAGTCTTGCCATTTTGGTGGCTGCGCATTGCCCGACTATGGAAAATTCTATAATTGTGCAGGTGACAACGCGACTGGCACGCGCTCCTGACGCTGATTAGAGCTGCAGCTGCACGCTGCAGAGCGACTTGCATTGACTCGACTCCAGTCTTCAGTCTTCAGTCTTCAGTCTCCAGTCGCTTCGAGTCACGCACGTTTGTCTACATATATAAGACCATAAAAATATTATTAATTATGACAATATTGGAGTAAAAGTGTTTGGTCTGCGGCAATGCCATAAGAGGAGTGGTGCGGAATGGTGCACTCCCTCGAGGATTTGCCAGAAACATACCAAAGATATCCAAGAATACAGTGGAATACAGAACGGTACTAATTATACAACTCATTTTTCCACAAAATTAGCTTATTCTCTGATATTCGAGCATTGCCTTAATGCATTGCAACGCACTGCATTTGAGATTTCAGTCTAAAATGCTTGACTAATGAGTTTATTAGCATTTATATGGTTCGATCCGTCTGCCAGAGGCAGGAATATTCAAATGGAATGACCATTCCACTCCCATTCTGGACTGCCTCTGCTTTGGGCTTCCTGGAAATATCGATATCAAGGCACGCGTCGGACTCTCTAGAGTTGGAGCCCGAGAAGCAATGTCCATATCGGATGGGTGTTCGATTTGTCACAGCCGCCAGAAACGGGCATTCGAATGCCGCTCTCTGGCCCCCAGAAAGGAGCTGTTGAAATATTTCACTTCTGTGCCTCAGCTGTTGGGGATCTAGCCTAGGAAATCTTTAATATTCAATGGTTGCGGAAATTAACATTTCTATTTAGAGTTACAACTCATCTCTGGTTCTGTTGAGTAATGTATAGCGATGCGGGGAGGGCAGCAACTGTTTGAACTGCGATTCGGGCACCACTGCTGGAACAGTGTCAGCCTTGCTGGTGTCGTTCTCCCACACCGCTGTGGATGGTTCGGGACCGTAGTGGAGCTGATGGTGCAGCTTCCCATTGAACAGACTGTCGATGAATGCCTGCAGCACGCCCGGCTTGTGGATGTCCTCGTAGCGGGGGAACACATACATGTGGCGGAACGAGTCGATGGCTATAACGGGCAGATCGGCCACAGATTTCCCCAAATGCATGAGCGGGTACTGGAATAGTTGTCCATCGGCAGTCAAATAGTTTACAAGAGACGAATTCGATAATTTGGTCTCCACTACAGTCTTGAACTCCTGCACGTGCTGAAGATTGTTCTTGTCGTAGAATAGCATGACGAAAGGTAGACCCTCCTCGGTGATTTCCTCGGCATTGTTGAAGGTGATTTCCCGCACCAGTTGGATGCACTTGTCATCCGTCCAGGCCATCAGGTCATCAAAGCTACTCAAATTCCCCGAATACTCACTGTAGTACTCTCTGTGGCTAGAAAGAGTGGAGTCGGCGCGAAAGATTATCAGATTCTGTCCATCTGGACGCAGACCCTCCGTCACCTCGCCAAAGCCCGCTAGAAACTGGCATTCCTTCTTCAAAAAGTTCGCCACCTTGCGAAAGTTGTCATACTCCGTGCTATTTTTCTCCATGAAGTAGCCAATGAGCAAGCCGGTGTCGTCATTGATGTCATGCAGCTCTTCGAGTGTGCGGAACTCCTTGATGGGATCGGCGAGTTCCTGTGCCACGAACTGGTAGAACGCCTCCACTGACCTCTGGCCGCGGTACTCACTATTGACAACCATTCCATTGCGTAAAATCTTTAGTGTGGGATACTTAATGATTTCGAATTTGAGGGCCACATTCTCCTCCTTGTCGCAGTTGACCTTGCCTATCGTCACCCGCCCCGACTCCCAGAACGTGTTATTTATCTGTCTGGCTGCCTCCTCGAAGATGGGTGCCAATCGGATACTAAAGGGGCACCAGTCCGTGTAAAAGTTGAGCAGCACCAATTCGGTCGACTCGAGTATTTGATCGATATTGTGCTGGCCCACAGTCACGGAACTACCAGCAATGGGTGCCAGATGGTGGCACCCCAAGATCAGCAGGATAGTCCAACAGCCGGACAGAATTTTAAAGGCCATTTGTACTTGAACAACGATGTTTTCCCAGTGATCGGTAATCGATGGCGAAGTTGCTTAATTGAAACTGTGAAATTTGCATTATGTTCGGCTTTCCAATCCATTCGATACGTCTACGTGGGAGTCGAAGTGCTTAAAGAATTTGATATTGGTTGTTTTCATTGTTCTTCTGGCCATGGTGGACGCTCTAAAAGGAAGAAACACTTTGAAAGAAAAACGAACTTTAATCAATTGGTATACAATTATTATATTACTTAGCCTCCAATCGGGATTGTATGTCTGGAAAATAGTTATCTTACCTTCCTACACATTCTGCCTTAAGAAATGCGTCAACCACTGATAAATTTGAATTAAATATCTCATTGCAAATCCAAACACAAACTCTGTCCAGATACAGGCATAGATGCAGAGATACTCGCAATTGGATGGATGCTAATGATGCGTCATGGTCATGGGACGATGTCTGGAGCTTTCGACGATGAATTTCAGCAGACAATTTGGCAAGCTGTCAACGCCACTCACTGTGCGAATGGTGGGCGTGGCACACAGGGTAGGATATACATATATACATATATATACCTAACCCAAAGAGTAAGGGAATCGACAATCCGAAGCTAATGATTGTCTGAGAGACGTTTGCCAGCAAAGACATCAATCAATCCGAAGCTAAAGTGAAACCACCCCCAAGGGAGGATACGCACTGACTGCCCCACCGCCTTCATCAGATGTGTACAAACGTTCGGCTCTGCTCCTTAAATAAGTAAGAAAACTTATAAACTCATTCGAATCATATTTAAAAATCATCCAACAGCAGCAACAGCTTGACCCGTGCGCGTGTCCATTCATGAATTATTAGTTGGAGCTTATCAAACGTGACCAAAATAGGAACGGAAAAAATATTAATAATAAAAAAAAGGGAAAAACAGTTGGCCTCTGCCAGCTGTTGCTGGGAAGCAATAGCAGGACAACGGACCAGGCCCAAGCAAGTGTGGAAAATCAGCAAAAACCAGGCCAACTTCCCAGAAAAAGCGAGGGGGAACGTTGTGAGTTGCTGCGGAGACCGCAACTCTACATTTACATTTGTATACCCGATACTTAGTCAGTATGGCTCTCCTCCGGCAGACGGCGCTGACATTGAACATTCTAGCCTTAATAGTCTCTGAGATCTGGGGATGTCACAGATCTCGTCCTTTGCAGGGGCGGAAGTGGGTGTGGCGAAATTTCGAAATAAACTTGTCAAGGTTAGATATCACAGGAGTGTGGACACCAAATTTGGTTGCATTAGCTCTTATAGTCTCTGAGATCTAAGAACTCACATTTTGCAATAGGCAAAGCCGAGAGAGAATGAAATTGTTTTCTTGATTCGGGCTATAAAAATTAAACGATCTGGTTTATGCAGTCTAGGAGATGTAGCCTTTCTCTACGATTCTGCGTTTTTGGTTTTCTCGTATTCTCAGACATGGCTCATTTTTATTGTATAATCATTATTTTTGATTCTTATTGTATAATTATTATTTTTGATTTTTATTATTAAATAATTATTATTAAATAATTATTATTCAATAAAAACAAAAAATAATACTTATACCATAAGAATCCAAAATAATAATTAAAATTCCATAAAAATCAAGAATAACAATTATAATAATAATTATACAAAAAAAAAAAATCCATTTTATGGAATAATTATTATTTTGATATTTATTGAATAATTATTATTATAATTGTTATTCTTGATATTTATTGAATAATTCTTATTTTTGATTTTTATTGAAGAATAACAATTATAATAATAATTATACAATAAAAATCAAAAATAATAATTACTCATTAAAAATCAAAAATAATCATTATTCAATAAAAATCAAATATAATAATTATGTAATGTACATATATAATAATTATAATAATAATAATAAGATTTAGGTCTCAATCGACTCGGCTATTGATGCTGATCAAGAATATATATACTTTATGGGGTCGGAAACGATTCCTTCTGGACGTTACACACATCCATTTATACTACAAATCTAATATACCCCTATATTCATTTTGAGTATCGGGTATAAAACTGATAACTGTCGGCGCCCCACCAAGGCTGCCATTTCCATTGTGGAAAAGGAAAAGCTCACATGTGCCGTGCTGTGCCGTGCCATGCTCGTTCTCGTTATTATCTTTTGGCCTGACCACAAGACGTGTCAACTTGTGGTACCATCTCTTCAGCCGACATCAGAGGCACTCCAGTGCCAGATATACATAAATCAACTTTGGGAAAAACTTTGCCTGTGGCCGGCAGCGTCCTCACAACCCAACCCGAAAGTGTTCCTTTTTCGGCTCGGGGAAGCCGCTTATAAATTTTTGAGCAATATTTTCCCTTCTAGAAGAAAGCAGCTTATTGACAAGTCATGTGGGAGATATAACTAGTGCATCTTCAGCTCTCAGTTGTGGTCAAACGGAGGGTGTCTTTAAAGAGAAACCTTTAAGCCCTTATTCCCCCACTCCTTTCTACCTTCCAAGTTGTTGGGTGTTTCGGGCCATGACTGCCACAAGGCAAGGTGACGTAATTATAGATGTACTTGTACTGGTAGTTCTGCTGGAGTCGAGCCCACACTCAAAATGCAACGCACACAGGACAAAGCAACCCCCAAACATGCAGCGGATGGCTAAGAAACTAACAAACCAACAATGAAAGAAGGGAACTGGTAAATGGTAAATGGTATATGCTAAATGGTGAATGGGAAAACAAAGTCAAGGTACTGCAAAAGGGTTGGCACGACCCACAAAAAACATAGTAGCCAAGTGGGCGTAAACCGACGCGCGGTTTCCCCCATAATTGTGGAGGGTCTGAGATGCATTCAGAGTCGTCGACTGGGTGTATCTGTGGGACACACGCTCTCCAGCTGGTAAGAGTTGAGTTGTCGCCGTTTGGTATCTTGTAATCTTGCAGCTACTACAAGACGCTGCGACACATTAGCATAAAATCATGATTAAGATAAAGAATTTCTACTGGCAATGGCCAGAGTGCCGGAATGCGTATCTGTATGTTTGTTTTAATGAGCATAAGTATCTTATGGGTAATTAACGCAAAGCAACACAAACCTAAATCAAGGTTATCTTCGCAGAAAGAGGACACCAAATCCTTTGGTGAAAAATTGCATTGCGCACCACGACCATGAATCCGCTTAAAATGCAATTTGTAGACAATTTAGTTTCTTCTTTTTTCCGCTCTCTCAATCTTTTTGGCTAGACATTTCCGTTTGACGCAGCAAAGGCAAAGTTGCTTTTGAGAAAAGTGTCATTAGCATTGATTAATTTGTCCCACGATTTACATGGAAAAACAATCAATCAACACGTCGTCCTCATTCTCCATTAGTCAATCTAGAGATTGAGATGCCACCGGGCAGCCACTTGAACTCTGTGAGACGAGTGTCAACCAGGCAAAGCCATGCCGCCCTCCCTTACGCCTCCTGCTCATTCATTCTTCCATTCTATCTTTCTCTTGGCCATCTATCTAACCATTCCAGGGACATTAGCAATCACAATCGTCTACCATCATTAACGCTTTCGTGGGGGATGGGTGTGGCCCGGCTGGCCAAAACCTTTATGAAGCTGTTGTTGCCAGTTTTGGAGGTTTAATGAATTATCTGACTCTCGTACTCGTATGCGACTAAGAGTTTCGAGCTGTTCTGAATGTAATTAAAGCGGGAACATGGGCGGAGCCCATGGGGGGAGCTCAACAGTAATTTAAACTAGAAATGTATATATTTTCTCAGTTACACTTCTCTTCGTACTAATGTCCCCCCTTGTAAGCTCCTTCTATGCCTCAGACAGAATCATCTCTGGCATAATTAAGCCACATCAATGTCGTGTTTGAGGCCGGCCAACTAATGATGGCCAACATTTACAACAAAAGCCAATTGTTGCAGAGGCAGATGAACAGCAGGGGAAGTCCCAAGCTTGGGGACTTTAATTTTTATGCGTGAAAACACAGAACAACAATGCCCCAACAAAAAAAATAACCACACTTAAAATGCGAGTCAACCATTTTTCTACAAACAGCAGCACGAAGGATATACAAGGTAGGGACACGTGAACAGAAGCGAAAAGGAAATTCAATTAGCCTGAGAAATTTCGGGTTGGTTTCATTCGTTCGTTCAACATTTGCTTAGGTAATGTTTCAATTAATTCATTTGTCCCACAGACCACAGATGTCTAGGGGGAAAAAGACTGCTGCTAATGATGTTGGGTTGCTGGGTGGTCCTTACATATGCGATAACATTAGATGATCTTTAAGGATGATGCATGGGGTTTCTATCTGTGGTCCTTTGTAGCAGAACATCCCACAAAACAAATCAAATCAATTGCCCACAATTAATAACACCAATCCGAGACTCATTCGACAGCATTTCATTATTTGTTATATATTTCAAAGATATTTATTTGATAAACGCCGCCGTCAGACGCCAAAAATCTCATCGCTTTAAGTGGCTCATTTTGGGGGCTACGAGCAGCAGTAAACGTATGAGGATTGCAGATTGGAGTTGGGTACCGGTACGGGTCGTGGGTCCTTGCCCAGCCATAGCCGCAGGCAGCAAACCAACACCAGAAGGAAACAAAAAAAAAAGGCGGAGAAGACGTCCACCGAGCGAGCTACCGGGTAACATATCAAAACGCCGCAAATGGGCAAAGTCAAACCCAAAGTAAACGCAACGCAGAAAAAAATGAAATGAAATCATATAAAAGCAGAGTGCCAAAAAAAGGCAAACATGCGACGTCGTCTAAAGGATTTGCCCCATGGCAGCAGGCAGGCAAACGGCAAAGACAAAGTAGCTGTGGACACAAGCAAAAAGCCAAAAGGAGAGAGACCCAAAAATTTGCTGAGCCAAGACCACGGCTGTGTGCGGATATACTCGTTCGTACGAGTATATCTCGTATATTTGGGAATTTATGCCGCGATTTTAAAGTAAAAAAAAAAAAAATAAAAGTGAAATAAATGCAGGGAGAATGCGGGCTTATGGCGGTGGCGGCAGAAGTCAGAAGAGAAGTCGCGTATTCGGTAGCCCGCATATGTCAACGAAATAAATTTGAAGACTTTTTGGGTGAAGGTTTTTATGCTAGGGTCTAACCGAAGAAGGAATGCGCTACAGAATAGAATTATGAGTGGAAAACGTTATGAATTTGATTAGAAATATGAACAGATCCATCCATGTCCATCTGCTTCACAGTATTCAACGAAATCATCCTAAAGATGTGTTAATTCTCGATACAATGACCGTATGAAAGTATTTTGTGATCTCTTTAGCTTAAGAGCTTCCATCTTTCATGTTCCTCTATCCAAATAAGAAGACAAAACTTACTCTGCAGGGTATTTCCCAATCCGCAGATAGTCGCACCCAGACAATTCCCATCCTGAATGTGACTCACTTTGGATGCGATGCTCATATCTCTGCCTCTTGTGCCTCATGCCGCAGCTTCATACGTCAGTCACTTCGCGGTTCACACTAGGCTGCGTTAATCCAATATGTGATTACGAGTGTTCTGACTTTAAGCATCTGTTAAATTGGCTTAATCCCCGTCTCAGTGTGCGACTGCTCTGTCTGTCTCCCTGCCTGTGTGTGCCTCTGGACTGTTTCTCTGTCTGCTCTGGCTTTTGTAATACTCCTATGTATTTGTATTTGTAGCTGCTGCTGCCACCGCCACTGCCACTGCCACTTTGTAACTGTTGTCATTTTTATTGCCCTGGGAATGTTTTTTGTCCACTTGTTCAGAGCACACGCCCCGCAAAAAAACTTTTTTTCTCTTCATCTCCATCCATATCATGTCCCATCCCTCGCTTTGTTCTTCGGAGCATCTTCGTTTGGCTTTTGTGGCTGGGTGTCCTTTGTACTCTTCTTTGGCCAAACAAAAGTTTTGTCGTTGATTTTATTGACCAATTTTTGGGTGCGTAAGTTCTTGATTTTTTTCTATATGGAAGTTTTTTGCATGCCACCGCCGGCCCAGGGATCGAATTCGGGATTTGTTGTTTGGTTTATTTTGGGTTTTCTTTTCTTGAAGTTGGCTTTTTATATGGTTTTATTGCTTCATCTGTGGGGATTTAAAGTTTTATTGTGATTTAAACACTTGTTAATCGTGTGTGCATATGTCAATGTGGTGTCGCCTTCGGATAAGATTTGTTCTTGGGATGTCTGTTTTGGGGGATTGAGATGTTTTTAGATGTTATGACTGCTCAGAGGTGAATGGGGAATGTCTTGGTTATTACACGGAGAGGAAAAATCCCTGAGTCCTGAATAGCTTCACTTGAATTTTAATATTTCTTCGTACCATTATATATGTACATATGTCCCAAAAGTGAAAAATTTAAAAACCACTTTGACATTATTATGAAAATATTTAATCTAAATATATTTCATATTCTAATTAAATATTTTTCTTTTTTAATAAAATATATTTCTTGAAATATTTATTAATACATTTATGTGTAAACCAATTAGAACTATATTTAATTTTACTATGTTTTTATTTTAAAGCCGAATTTGTAATTCAAATATATGTGTTGGTATATTTTTACTATGAATTTTTCTCTCAGTGTCAGGTGAATAATATTTTTATTCAATGAAATATGTATTTAGTTAGTTTTTTTTTTTTTGTTTGTCTCCAATTTGCGTTGACATTTTGCAAATCTGTGCCGAAATTTACATGCACCTAATGCTAGAGACAGACACTCACATCGACAAATCCATCGTTTCATTGATAAATTGTCCCATGCGAACCCATGTGAATCCAGAGAGACTTAGAGAGAGAGAGAGAGATCTGGGCCAGTGGACAGGTACTCGTACACACACACACACACACAGAGATAATCACCGCACTTCAATCTACTGGTGCGAGGAGGCATTGACGGGCGGGCTGCCAGTCGTTCTCCTGCTGCCACATCTGCCAGCCGGACGAACGATTGTAATCAAAATACAACAAATTAAGGAGAGAGAGGAGGCGGTGTGTGCGTGAGAAGAGGGAGAGCTGGAGACAGGCTGGATACCTTTTTTAAAATATTTATTTATGCAATTATTTTGCAAGTAGCTCAAAATAAATAAATGAAATGAAATAGCAGACCAGGAGAGAGCCACAGCCACAGAAAGAGCCAGAGCCAGAGCCCGAGACAGGGACTGGGACTCGCGATGGAGACGAGTTCCAAGTGCACGAGCACGACTTCAATTGACGACGCAGTAAATTAAAATTTAAATTTATGCCATTTGCCAACTGAAAACGACGAAGAGTGTACACCAGGCAGTGAGTGCCCCAAAAACAGAGGCCTGGCACAATTAGAGTTAAAGGTAGAGCCAAAGGTGCGCCACAGAACGTCACTCCTGGTGCTGTGAGATGGCCAACATCAAGGCAGTGTGGAAGGGACACTATCGGCCATGTCACATCACTTCTATTGTCATCATCTTCCCCCATTCGATCCCACTTTTGTGGTGTCATCTTTCTGTCAAAATTGTATTTATTTATTTGAGTATTGCAAATGCATTTGCGGCGCAACCTAAGTGAAACGTCATTGCGGCTCACCTGCCAACAGGTGCTACAGTTGTGACCCTCTCTCTCTCTCTCTCTCTCTCTCTCTATCTCTATCTCTCTCCCTCTCGGACGAGTGCGTAACATCTCGTTTTTGACCCAATTAGTTTTTGTGGCCCGTTACAATGTAAGCCTTGAGAGTTTATGGCTCGTAAATGTCTTGTCTGCTCTGTTTCCATCATGTTGATTTTAATTACAGCGCAAGCCCACCTAGTATACGTAATGTCTGTGCCACAGAGGAGTTTCGTTGAGTACTCCGCCGAAAGTACGATTCAGCAAATGTGTCTCCCAGTATCAGAACAGCTGCTGGGCTAATCGTTTCACACAATTACCAAAGATTATGGGTCTGATTTGCCGCTGCTGCTGCTGCTGCCGCTTCCATCCCCTCATTAGTCGCAATCATAACTGTGAAGTTGTAAAACCGCCAAAAAGGAAAACGAGAGGAAACCACCCATTTCCCACAAAGACATCCTTCGTCCGCCGAAAAGGGGGGCAATAAATGGCAATCAACGTACAATCAATGGGTTAAACCCTTTTTGCTTTATGATCCGAAAACAATTTAAGCTTTTATTTGTTTTTGATGCCCACCACAACAAGCAATCAGGAGCCGCCAACTTGTCTTCCAAATGGTAGCAAATCAAATTGGCCAACAAAGAACGAGCCAGAATGGTGGTCCAGAAACGGGCGGTAGAGGATGGGGGAGAGCAGAGCAGAGCCAATGCAATGAGCATACATCATGGACAACTGTTGCATTTGGACACTGGGACACAACTGGGAGTACAATTGATGGATCACCCAAAACCATCTGACTGCTGCCCCAGACGACCATTGTCAGTACTCGTTCTCGTACGTTGCTGCTGCTGCTGCTGCTGCCGTAGCAGTTGCAGTGGAAACCAGAGCCAAATGAGTGGCAAAGAGTTGCGTAAAACGAAACCAGCGATAATGATCATGCCAGGGCGCAAGACGCGTTAAAGATTTCAACGTCGTCATCAGCAGCAGTAGCAGTAGCTGAAGCGACTGTCTACAGTGGGGATTCGGCAAGAAGATTGCTGATATATGACTTCGTCTAAAATCTCGTTCTTCTTGGGGCACAGCATTCACTGTGGCCACGACCGGACGTAGTCGCCAGCCAAGTGCGATTGCAAATGCACGGAATTCACATTGAAGAAGCTGCCCCAAACGCTGGCTTCGTTTCTGTCTGTCTGCTTTTGGCCATTAACGCGAGTCGAGTCGCTTGCACTTGCCACCGATCGGCTACCGTTGCTACCGGTTGCTCCCTGCCACATCCACATCCACACCCTAGGACCCCCCATCTCCAACCATCGCTTCCTCTGCTGATGAGTTTAGTGCCGCTCACTCGTCAATGATTTGTAATTTTTTCCTGCTGCGCGGTGCCTGGCCGGCGATGCCCGCCGCCAGTCGAAAATCATAATAATCATAATAAAATGCAGCTATATCCATTTTAACACCAAAAATACGAGTATGTCTCGCACTGGCTTTTTAGCTACGGCTTTCTTTGAATTCTGTATTGAAGTATTGCCGTTGTCATGTCAATTTTGCGAACTCTTGCAGGCCTAGCCTGCGAGCGCGAACCGGCTGTCGCATTAAAGTTGGTAATTTGTGCTAAGCACCAACGCTGGCTACTAGTGTTTGGCTGCCACACACACGGACAGACTTCTGGGTGGTTCTGGTAATTAAGTGTGCTTAACGTGCTTAAATTGTCTGTCGAATGCCATGGCCAAAGGCTAATGGAAAACTTCTTACAAGGGCTATAATTATGGGTCTAAAAAGAAGTCCTTTCGAGAGAGAGATTGCTTATGAAGATCTGTTTATTGGTGTGATGTTTGATAGAGTTTTTAAATATAGAGTTTCCGCTTTACATCTCAGACAATTAGCAGATGAGAGGAGCCAACAAACACATTGTGAACCGCAAAACAAATTTACTTACAACAGCGGGTTACAAACTGGGCAAACAGAAACCGTTGGCCGATTCCGCGTCTGTATCTGTGCCTCTGTACCTCCGTGTATCTGTGTCTGAGTCTGCAAGCATTGATCTTGCAACGTTTTGCTGGTTCGTTCGATCGATTGATGTTGTCAATCAGAGCAGATTTAAGCGAAGGTTAAGAGTTGCATACGTTTAATCGGGTAGAGGCAGAGGTAGAGGCAGAGCCCGAGAGACGAATCAAGACCATGTTGCGGCATCCGCCACCAAGTCATTGAAGCGCGTAAAGCAGAGTAAACCCAAGACCAATGTCGGAACGACGGATGCTGCAACGAAGGAGCGAACGCGAACCCCAATCCGAGTCATTGGTAATGATGCAAGCTGCCGCTGCTGCATCAACGGTTCGATGCAATGCGCTGTGATAGAGATGCAGCGCCGTTGATTGCAATCGGTTGCTGTGGCATGGCCGTTTACTGTTTGCATTTGTGTTGCAAATTTACAGCTCCATCAGCATCGGTTCGGTTCGGCTCGGTCTGTGGCTGTTGGCTGCTGGCTGCATCATTAGCTTGACCAAGGTCATAGCAGGCAGATCGATGAGGCAATCAGTATCGGAAGGGGGCAACAGCAACAGCCCCAGCCCCAGCCCCAGCCCCCCAACGGCAAATGGCAACAAATTAACCAAAGTGATGATGCGTTAAGTGGCAAAATGGCGCAACTGCAACACTGCCACCACCACCATCACCACCAATAAGGAAATTAGTTTTAGCGGTTTATGCTAAATGCCCCAAGGGGTTGGTTTCGTTCTGTTCCTGTGACAGCTGCGCCCACATTTTGGCCAATTAAAATCAAATTTCAAAAATGTACCCAACAATTTTTGGCACAAAACTGATGACAGTTTAATTGTTTTGTCCTGACAGCTGCTTTCACTTAGCCACGAGTATCATCATTTCACTTTTGGCCTTAGATCTAGAGCGAGTTGATAAAAGAGAAAGAGAGAGACGATGATGGCCCCCTCGATAAGGCCACTTTACAAATTTTTGACATTAATTACTCATCAAATTATGGCACTTTCAGAACTCATCCTGTTCTTTGTTTTGGCCAGTCATTGTCAGTTTGGTTAGGGGTTGCGTTGCTAAATTAAATATAATGAAGAGTGCTCTGGATATCCTGCTTCAACTTTGTGTCACACCCTAATCGAAGTCCCGATTAACCTTGAACGGTCCTCATACTTTTTATATCATATATGAGGGTATACTCATAAAAAGCCGAAGCCGAAGCTGAAGCCAAAGCCAAAAGCCACTCCTCAATTACTAGTATTTTTCTTGATACATATGCAAATGGGCCAGACAGATAAACACATACATTTGCCATCAGCTACCAACTAACTCACGCACTGAACTTTTGGCCACAAAACGCATTCCCGTTAGGGATCCAAAATTTGCATGGCACAGGCACAGCCATGGCCCCGGGGGCAAAAGCCAGTAGCTCCAATAATTTCAAATTATAAATCATAATGCAGCTACGAAAATTAGAATATCAAAATTTTTTTTGCTCTGCTCATCGATGGCTACTGCAATTTCGGAGGTTTTTGGTGGTTTGCCGCCGCTAAATAAAATTGGTTCAAGGCACGAACGTCCACGAAATTGGCTGCCGAACATCGCGTTTCGGGAACATAACTGTTGTTCTTCGATTTTGCATAATCGAGATACCAGGGGCCAGGGACCAGGGACCAGGGACCAGGGACCAATGCTTTCCCATGCAGATTTGGTCAATTGTAATTAACCTTAATTGATTGAACGATTATCGTTGAGCAAAACTCATGCCACATTTCACTTTCAGTCGGAGGCAGCAATTGTGGGACTTCCGATTGGGATTACAGTGAAGTGAACATAGAATCTGTGGATGTGGCTATCTTTCCCGCAGTTTGTGTGTTGGGCCTTTCTCTGTATCGTATCTGTTGTCTATCATTAGCATCAAAAAGCTATCATCATCATTATCCAAGCGGAGAGGAGGCACGGCAGCACGAGCCCACACTCTGCACGCGATGGCTGCTGTTAGATACACACGCAGCCAGCCAGGCAGGCAATAATCATAGGCCCAATCATAGTTGCTGCTCAGAGGTGTTGCTTTGTAAAGTGCGGCATAATCAGTGAGTAGCATGCAACAAAAGAACGCACAACACACAGCCCCTTCTATCACGATTGAAGGCTTTCAGCGGCCTCTGACATAAGTTGACAAACTTTGGAGCTCCTTGAAGCATTAATCGCTCAATCGAATGGAGCGAGCTCAAAATAAATGTATCAATAGCTTTAAATATAAATCAATATCGTAGCAAATGGCCAACGGTGCATGTAAGCACTAAATCAAATTGTCAATATGGGTAACTGATACACTCTGGAGCGGACTCCGAGCAGCGGAAATTGAATTATGCCCCAACCAGAGTTGGAAACGGAGTCGCTCAAGCTGCAGATGGAGTTGGAGTTGGAGTCGAAGCTCTGCGACATGCATGAATGAGCGTTTGACTGAATGGTTACTGCTGTTGCTGCTGCCACTGCTGCTGCTGCTAGTGCCTTGACTGACAGACGGTGGACAACTGGTGCTCGAATCGGGTGCAACCACTTTCGTTAGCCAGCGGACATTGCCGATTGGTGACTGTGTGAATCTGAGATGTGGTTGCTATAGCTGGAGCTCCGGGACCGAGCACTGAGCACTGGGGACCGGGGACTATTGGGAGTCGGGCAAATCTAATGTCCATGTCTGAGCGGTTTCCTCTGCAAACTCGTTTCGGCGGGGCATTAGATGCGATACGCATATGCGATACGATAGTTTATGATCTACAATTAAAAGTGTATGTCCCACACAGAGCTGTGGTTCACGAAGGGGTTGCAGTCTTGCGTCTTTAGACCCCTTGCCAACTAAACCACTGGGCCTGCTGTCCGCGACAAACGCATTAAATGAAAATTAGTTGCAATAACATGAAAATTCATAGCTTAATAGGAGACACACACACACACATACAGCCACGGGACACAGGTTGTCTGACAAAAAACTGTTACTTATACATTCGCATTCGTAGATTGTGTGGCAGATTGACATGGGAAAATGCTTATAAAAGGACTGTGTGAAGTGTTGAGTTATGATCCCAGTTTTTGTGCTCCCCCCTCGAAACAATAAATATACTGATTGATTGTTAGCGGAATTTAATTGAGATGATATCGAGTGTTTGATGGTCGGAAATCTAATTAACAAATAAATTCTCATGATCTCTTTTATATGACGAAACCGAATGAAAATGAAAATGAAAGTGTCGCGTCGTGTCGCACATTTGAATACTGGTATTTGAATGGCTGTGGCTATCCGCTCGAATGACCACTTTCAATTACGTTTCAGAAAAAAGTATTTTCCAAAACGGAAGCTGAAAGTGTTGCAATTACACAGCTCTCCAAGGAGGGAACGGGAGGGGGGGAGGAATAGGTGCCAAACGCAGCGATGCATCAATGTGTTAACAATATGGAAACATTTGTTCATCATTTGTTTAATCAAACATAATTCTTTTAGGCCGAACTAAACAGGGCCGAGCTCCCAACCGCTTGGCCAATTAGGGCCAAATAGGGCGCGGAGAGTAAGGCCAAAATCGGGACCATCCCATCGAAAGTTATTTGCCCTTCACATGGATGCCACACATTGCTCGGCGAACGTTGTCTCCTCTTCTTCTCGGGGCAGACAAAAATATATTTGAAATATTTGTCCCTCAGATTAGCGAAAAGTTTGGCGGTTGCTAACGGCGTTTTGCGAAGGCCCACGAAAGAAATCCATCAAAGGATCATCAAATTCAAGAAGTGACGTATTGGGTTTTTGGTGTTTCGTCGGCCAGACTGTAGCCCTGGAATGTGTGCGGACCCAGAGCTCAAAATATAATACCTAACTAAGAGAAAAAGAGGCAAAGGCAAACAGCAAACAGCAAAAAGGCCAATAAAACATCAACACGAGTAGAATGATAACAACTAAGTAAACGTCTGT